GATGAAGTGAATCAGCAACTTGATTGGCCTGCAGGAGCAGCCAATAAGGCTTCTGGAGGAGGTGAATCCGCAACCTGATTGGCCTACAGGAGCAGCCCGGAATTAGCCAATCACGCGGGGCCCATTGTGTAAATAATGTATATATAGCTAGATGTTTTGGGGGAAGTTTCATTCATTGCTACTGTGAGCTGAATAAACAGCATGAAATTCACACTTGACTCTGAGTATATTTCAGTTACAAACATAATTTTAAATATATTGAGTGCTTGTTCCATTTTGCTTCAGTAGGACAATATCCTGCATCCACATAATAGATTGGGCAGTGAGGGCATTATATGTGCACTCTGGCACTGGATTTACTATACGCCCAACTGATCTGCAGGAGATAGCAACTTGCAGATCCCATCTTCCAAGGCCTGTTTCTCACAAACCACCTACCCTTTGCAATTCTCTCCCATTATCTACCTAGCAGCATCTCTGCTGTATTTTCAGTGCCTGAATTTTGAGGATTTCCTTTTTCAACAAGCCTTATAAGTGCCAATTTTTACCCCACTAGGGATCTCAATTTATTTTAAACGGTTTTATATGTGCAAGTGCTCTCTATATGCCTTTGTTCAGTTGTTTTTATAATGCATTGTTTGTATTGTTTGTACTGTATTGTGAAATCGGTTAGCAGTAGCATTAGCAATAATCGTAAGGACGTTCCCCCTCCCCCCCCATGTATCATTCTGCATTTAGAGTTTATAAACTCTAAGCTCAAACCACTGACATTGGGGCAGTGCACTGCACTACATACTACACCCATGGAGTACACAACCAACAATAATAAATTCGGCTTTGGTCCAGGATATCTGAGGAATCACCTTCTCCCATACCATCCTAGGGATGGAGATTGGCCAGTGATGACAGAAGACAGAACATTTTTTGTGCCTGCATCAATAGTGCAGGTTACCTTGCCCCATAGAATGTGGGTGGTGCCCTGTTCTGATCTTCTTTCACTGGCTGCTAAAGGTCACTAATCAGTGCTGAGAATATTTCTTATAAATGGTTCAGTTTTGCTATAAACTACTCAATCCTTTAAAAAATTAACAGTATAGGGCACTGTAAGTTGGAACAAACATGTGCCTCACCTTGGAAGACTTCATGGGATATTATGGCTCATTGTGTAGCATTTATGTGTTCTTGACGTTAAGTCAAACCTTTGGATGAATTGTGAGGTATAAATCATGGCATGGTCTCAGATAAACCTTGAGCCTCAGTTCCTTGTTCTGTATTCTCCTTTTCACCACACATTAATTTTTAATTACAACCATTTCAAAATAAAGTCATAATGTGAGTCATAAATCACCAACCGTGGCGATAAACCACTTTGGTTTATATTAGCTACATACAGATTATACTTCTACCATTAGCATTGACTATTTGAGCTCTCTCCATACAGCACTTCCTCTCTCGCTTCCATTTTAAATTGTAGCAATGTAAGGAAGGGAGGCTGGCTCTTACAGATGTTGACTGTTCTCTGTTCCCTTAATTGAAAGCTGATATCCTGGTTCAAAGGACCAAAGGATGTTTGTGCTGGCCTGCCAACGGAAGTGTATTTCATTCTTCTTCATCATAAGAAACAGTCACCATATTTTCAGAATGGTAATTAAATTAAACTGAAAAGAAAGAAAGAAAATATGGTGCCTCTATACCAAGTGTGGGGAACATTTGGCCCGCCAGGTGTTGCTGAACTACAACTCCCATCAGTCCCTGAAAGCATGGCAATGGCCAGGGATGATGGGAATTGTAGTCCAGAGAATCATTAGAAACCTAACCAAATTAAATCACCCAGGATTTTTTGGGGAAAGTCATGAATAGTAAACAATAGTAAACAAATTAATAGTAAACAAAATAGGCTTCATCTGCACTACACATTTAAAGCAATATTACACCACTTCAAATGGTCATTGCTTTCCCCAGAGAATCATGGGAACTTGAGTTTGTTAAGGCTGCTGAGAGTTGTTAGGAGACCTTTATTCCCCTCACAGGAACTACAGTTCCCAGAGTGGTTTAACAATCAATCCCTCTTTCCAGGGAACTCTGAGAATTGTAGCTTTGTGAGTAGGATACGGGTTTCCTAACAACTCTCAGCACTCTTAATAACCACTTTAAATATACATGAAGATGTCAAATGAAATTTGGCTTGAATCTAAAGAGATATTTGGCAAGGCTGAGAATGCTCATGATCGAGGCAGATACTATACCACTGAATCATTTTTTGGAGAAAATATTTTGCAACAGGAAGAGCAAGATGCGCTGTTCTGTTCTTTGTAGGAACTAAATCTGACTAAAGTTAAAGTGATAGTTAACGGCGCCAGTGCTTCCTTGGTTCAACAGCAGTAGTATCCATTCTGCAAACCATAACATGGTGGTCATACAACCTAAGAGTGAGGAATTAGGGTCATTATGTGTCCAGTTTAATTGTACAATTGTGACACTTATGAACATAATATCCAGCTCCATGATTTATTCTTGATGTAAAAGGTAAAGGTACAGTAAAAGACCCCTGGACAGTTAAGTCCAATCAAAGGCGACTATGGGGTGTGGCACTCATCTCACTTTTCAGGCCAAGGGAGCTGGTGTTTGTCCACAGACAGCTTTCCATGTCATGTGGCCCCCATGACTAAACCGCTTCTGGCACAAGGGAACACTGTGATGGAAGCCAGAGCGTATCGAAACACCATTAATAAGCAGAAGATGGCCAAGCATTTTGGGGAAGTATTCAGTGTTGAAAAGTGTCATTGCTTTCAGTAACACTGCAGTCCTATAACTGCTTATATTGGGGAGCAAGCCACATTTAACTCAAATGGACTTACCACTTAGCTGTGTGTGGTTGGTTGGTTCATGATGTCAGCAGGTCAGGATAACTGGCCTTATCCCTGGCCTCATGGATAAAATGCATATAGCATTTTAAATGTCCAACATGAAAATAACAAAATAAGTACAATTATTTATTCATTAGATTATGCTTTGAAACCATTAACCAACTTTTTAAAAATGTGAACATTGAACTTATTGATTGAGATGGGAGCGAGTGCATATTGACTTTGCAAAAGTCCATTGCATCTCATGGTAACCCAGATCAACACAAATAACCAAATTCATCTCCTTGTAGCCTTGCTTTGTTACAATTGTTTAAGTATACTTAATGCAGGAAAGAATTAAACTTAATAAGCATATGCATCACTAGAATACTCAGTAAGACTAAATACTATGTATACATTTTAAAGATTTTAATCACCACTACAGGATATTCTCAATTAAATTAACGTGTTTTAGCACAACAAGCAATAAACTGCTTAACATTGAGCCCTAGTGAATTAAATGCCGGAAAAGCATTGGACAAAAGTCAAAGTTGTGCTGACACATTTATTTCTCAGTAAATGAAGACTGTTTAGTTTTAATGCATTTGTGGTTAGCGATAGTTTCAAAAGATCAATGAAAATTCATTTCCAGGTAGTAAATAACGCTTTAATGAGACTTCTGACAGTTTGCTTTCACACCTTAAAGCTCCTTACCTTTAAAAATGCTCAAAGGTGAGACTGTTCCACCCCCCATCATTCACTGATACACAAATAATAGTGTGCTGTGCTTCATAGGTTATGTTTGATGTGTATTTGATTGATGGTCCTGCTTCTGAGTTTAACAACTACAGTGTTTAATCAAGCATCTAGAGCACACTGTGTTACTGTTTTTCACCTTTTAAAGCTTAAACCAGATTCACCGAGGATTAATTAAATGTATGCCTTTTGTTTTGTTTCATAAAATGATGTGTGAAGGAATATTAATCAGCCCAAAACATAATTCTGATCTCTAACCATGCTTAGAGCAGACCCATGGAGATCAATGGGACAAGTCAGTCATGACTACCTTAAATCCCATTGAATCCTATGGTTCTGTACAGGTCTGGTTTCCTATGAGGTAGGGTTGGAGGGGGGACTGGTTTGGAAGAGATGCCTCGACCAGATCAGAGCCAGGGCACCTCCAAACACGGAACTTCAAGTGGAATCAGAGGACAGAAAAATGGGTACTTTGGGAGATTCTGTGCCCAAGCCAGGGTGGGAACCAGACAGGTTGCCAGTGATTGAGTTACCCCAGCAGGGCGACTTCAAGCCGGAATCCTCAGGGGCTCCATTGGCAGTGACCCCTTCGGAGCCGGCCTCGCTGACCGCTCCACTCAGACTGCGGGTACCGGAGGAACCTCCTGGGTCACCCACTCGGGCACAGGAACCACGACGGTCCCAGCGGGAGCGGAAAAGGCCGGCACACCTTGATGACTATGTTTGTTCCTTTTGTTAGGAAGTTAAGGGGAGGAGTGTTATGTATTGGGTTTAGCACATTTTATGTTACAAGGCGCGTTCTAACCAATCGTATAAGCGTTGTTAGACAAATGTTCTAATGGCAAGTAAACGAATGCACTTTCAACTGTCAACGGTCAGTTCATGCTCAGCGTTGTTATTATTGTGTTGTCCAGTCAGTTTGGTTCTCGTGTTCCTATGAGTGAGCTGTTGTCACTTACAAATGTTGAATAAACTTAGTTGAGGAACTTATACTGCCTTGGGCTTCTGACTTTTTCTGAACATTTAACACCTTCATTTGCAAGGAATCGTACAAAACGAAGTGGCACTAATAAAGAAAACTTCCAGGGTAGCAACAGAAAGCAAACTAAAAATGCTTTTGCAGTTCATCAAAACTATCCAGCAATATCAAGTTATAGGAAAACTGGTGCTATTAACAGTAATCCTTCTAGTTGGTTAATTGGTGATAACTAATCACAGGCAGCTACAGGAGAACTATGAGATTCAGGTGCGGGTCAGAAGCCTTGTCAATCCCAGTAGGTATATAAGATGTATATAAAATGTGTTAAACCCAATACATAACAAAGTCCTTGGACAGGGCTTCTGCTGACAGGGCTGGAGAGGTGAAGGCTCAAATGGAACTCAATAAAGTGAGATTATTTCCTTAGCTCAGTCGGTAGATCTTGAAACTCCTAATCTCTGGGTCGCGGGTTTGAGCCCCACATTGGGCAAAAAGATTCCTGCAGTGCAAAGGGTTGGACCAGATGACGCTTGTGGTCCCTTTCAACTCAATGATTCTTTGATTCTTTCATTAAAAAGGCACACTGCGCTTTGCTCCTTTTTCTGAGTGCCCTTGGTGGGTCCTCTCAAGTAAGTGGGCCCTGTCTGACTTCCTAAGTGATGGGACATGGAGAACAGCAGCTGAGAGATGGCAGCACAAAGAAAACCATCTTTTATCCCCCTCACAAGACAGCTTGCTTACTCACTGCAGGTCATCTGGTTTACCTCTCCCCACTGGGTGATATAGCTAAAAGTTCTGAAAGGAGCCCACCCAGCCCAGTGCAGGCAAGGTAGCTTAGGTGTTTGAAGATGATGATGATCTTTGCCAGCACTGAGAGGCATGCCACATTGTAAGGAGTGAGCACCATTTCACACCACCACGACCCTAGAATAAGGTTGCCCCAGAGCAGCAGGAGGAAGTTGCCCAGAGTGTCAGGAGCACTGGGTATGGATTAGAAAGATGACTTTTTCATTCCCTGCAGTTACCTGGTGCCTCCCTCACAGCTAGGGGATAAAGAGAATTTTTCAAAAATGTGCCACTGGCAGTGGCGAAACTGCATGCTCTGGCACCGGGACGGAGAGCAGGTGGGAGAGTGGCTGGTGCGTGTCCCGCGGCGGCATAGCATGTGTCCTGGGGCCGTGGTGCACCGTCTGTGGGGCCGTGGGGCCCGGTGAAATGGGGGCTGCATGGCGCGTGTCCGGGGGGTGGCTCTGATGGTACCCCCCTCCCCGATGGTGCCGGGGCCAGTGCGCTCCCGCTGCCCCCCTGCCAGTGGCCACTGGCCCATGTCTCAGGAAGTGATGTGTGCTGAAGCCAGAACTGAGATTATTGAAGTGCAGCTTTCAGAACATTTTAGTTACAATGACCCATTTACTCCATAGCACTCATTGTGCAATCTCCTAACCTAGTATATTAGTTGTGGACTCCAGCTTCTTCTTAGCCAGGGGACTTTTTTCAATATCTCATGCCTGGCTCTCATAGATGTAGGATAGCCTGCACATGCTTGACTGGTCATGCAAGTAATGCAAAGTTATACCTTGAACAATACACCTAATGAACTTGCCCAGCAGGCACAGGAAATAGTCGCGTTCTACTTTATCCAGATCAAACCATAAATTCTACCATTTAGGTTGACATTAATTGGGTTTCCACTAATGCAAGAAATTCTTCCTTCTTACTCATTTGTCTTCTGAGCTGTTTGAAGTGCCAAACGGGTCAGCTGTGCCAGTCACTCAGCCACGTGATTTCCAAACGGAATGGTTCTCCAAGTTACCACAAGCTCTGATCGGACCATAGTTTATTGCTCAATAAAAACAAGAGTTCAGCTTATTTAACTCGGCTGCAGTTCTCAAGAGCAACATCAAACTTTCCAGTTTAAAGAAAATTATTCTCACTCAGTCACTGAGCTTTTATGAGTCTTGGGATTGCATCACGAAACATTTTAGGTGAGGGAACAAAACAAAGGCTTCCATGGACTGATCCAAATCCTTTCAAAATGCAAACAACTCAGATGGATTTTCCAGGGCCATAGGTATGCATGAAGCTGCATCGGTGTTCTTTTCTCTTTCCCAGTATCATTGTTAAAACATGTTACAAAAACACCCTGATTTAAACAAGTCTTTTGGATCCCTTTGAAGTCCATGGTTAATAAAGACCTGTATTTCGCAATCTCTAGTTTATGGCTGAATGAAGGAAACTTGCTTATGTAGCATTTGGACAACAACCAGTGGTTAAAGACACAAGCTGGCCAGAGTTAAGCAACTCCCATTCATTTTGGTGGGCATAAATCTTAAGTAAGTAGGGATTAATAGTTTCTTAGCACTGTCTGCATTGAATCTCATATGCATTCAGCACATCTTGAAACCACACCAGGATTTGAAGCCAGTCTGTAGAAGGGGAACAGCACAGGTCTCATAATACATGCAAATATGCTTGCAAATGGGAGCAAGTGGAAGGAGTTTTTTTGTGTTCCCTTCTGTTCATAAACACATACAGCCCTTGAATCAACACTTAATTGCCTTTTCCTGATCACCCCTCCCTGAAAAGCTTCAGGCAGGCTGTCTGCTTCCCTCCCACCCTGCTTCAAGGGTTTGTTTTGTTTACTCAATCAGGCCCTTTTGGAACTTTAGAAAAAAACCGCTAACACTTCTTCAGAGTATTTTTACAATGCTTCAAAACATTTGGGGGGGAAACCTGTTCCGTGAGGGGAGGTGAAGAAGTTTGCTCTGTAACTGACTGAAGGGATAGCCAATCCGCCGTCTGCATAGCTCAGTTCCAAAGAGGTTGGAATGAGATTCACTACTGATACAAGTGGTGGCTATGGAGATCTGCCTTCCCTGAACTCAAGATGGGCAAGAGTTTGTATCTAGTACAGTGGTACCTCAGGTTAAGAACTTAATTCGTTCTTAACCTGAAACTGTTCTTAACCTGAAGCACCACTTTACTAATGGGGCCTCCTGCCGCCGCCACGCCGCCAGAGCACGATTTCTGTTCTCATCCTGAAGCAAAGTTCTTAACCTGAGGTACTATTTCTGGGTTAGCAGAGTCTGTAACCTGAAGCGTCTGTAACCCGAGGTACCACTGTATTATAATTCTTTCCGACCTTTCCGACGAGGAACTTGAGATGGTGTGCATGGTTCTCCCACTCTCTGTTTTAGCCTCCCAACTTCCCTGTTAGGAAAGTTAGACTGAGAGACAGTGCCTGGCCGAAGGCCACCCTGTGAACTTCATCACTGAGTGGCGATTTGAACAGTCCTAACACAACACCCTAATTACTGCACCACACTGGCTTCTAAGATGGACACACACACACACCTGTTTTCACAGCAAACTCACTTCTGCAGATATGCACGTCCCTATGCAGTGGTAGTTATCCCACTGTTTGCACTGTCTATAGTTTTCTGAGGCAAAATAAATTCTAGAGGTCAACTTCCTCCACATGCAGCTCTTTGAAATCAACATGAAGACAAAAGTTCATGTGTCCTATTTGACCTCTACTGTTTGAAACTACTGCGATTTTCTCTCTCTTCCAGGAAAAGCTTTAGGAATCCAGCTGTTTCTGCTTTTGGGACACATAAGGTAGCATCACTTTACAGTTATCAGAAGCAACAACTAGCTGAACAGCAACCACATTCAGCAACCACAAGATGCATTTGGGGAATTGGTGTTGTCAGGTTTTGATGTTAGTTCTCAATGGCACAACTAAAATAATTAATACAGAATAATGAGGATGCTAATGAAATTAGGGATACTGCTACGATGAATACATGGCAAGCATACATAGCGAATTTAGAGCTTGCATTCCAGAAGTTAACCTCTTTTTGCTGTATACAGAGATACAAGTCAATAGATGCTGAACTTGACTGGCCGTTTTGTCATAAACCATAACTATATTCTTTATTAATCCAGTGGGGGAGATCCTACCAAACTATGTCTTTAGGCAAAATGCCCATTGACTTCAAACAAGTCATATTCAAAGAGCATATGAACAAAATAAGGCACATTGCTGTGCCCCTGAAAGAGGGAGATATAATTTAAATATTTTGTTATTTAACAAATGATTTTCTAATCTGTTTCTGTGCAGATGCAATAATTACTGAGAAAAATCTTGCTTTCATCGATCACCACTGTTGTTAAGCATATGACAAAACCTGTATGAGTTACCCCAAAAATGTTTTTTTTTTACCAAATTGCATCTTGTATTTGCTTCAGTTTGAAGTTCTGAGCTGAAACAGTGTGTCACAATATGATCTGATGCACATAAAAAACAAGTTGCAAAATGTATCAAATGCCAAAAAATTAACAAGGGTCTAAATTTGAGCTCCCTTTGAACTTGGGACTCCACATGGCCCTCCAACACACACACCCATTGGCCTTGGTAATACTGTAACTCTAACAACATGCCTGCATGCCTGCATCCATACATACTAATTGCATTGCCAGATCAGTCCAAGGTCCATGTAGCCCCGTGTTCTGTTTCTTGGCAGGGGCTACTTAGATGCTTATAAGAGTTCAGAAACAGGGCATAAAGGTGTTAGCTCCTCCCAACATTTCTTCTTAGCATCAGTTTCCAGAGGTGCCCGCCCCCCAGCTTATAGCAAACATGGCTGGTAGCAGACATATTATACCATATGTTTAGAAACCAACCATCATACAATTTCAGTGAAAATGTCCCCTGATCAATTAATTTCATATCGATCATTAATCTAGTATGAGATGATACACACTAAAAACAGAGTTATGGAGTTAACCCCCCCGCCCCGCAATTGAACATAACACTGCAGCACTGTTTACACTTGCTACAAGTTACACATAATGAAGAAGGAAAATTCCTAGCTAGAAATCTCACAATTCAGAATTTCATTCTGGGCACTTCTTCAAAGGTACTGCTATGAATTTTGCTGTTCTATATGCAACACACCTGTTCTGAGGGGGTCAGCAAATGCACCAATTTCTCTGGATTGGGTTTTCTTCTGAATTGTAACAATAATAGTAGAAAATATTTTGCTGAAAGTTATTTGCTTTTATGTCGCATTGTGTAAGGCTCATTGTGTAAGGTTTCACAAGCTCATTTTTGCAAGTGTTGATTTACCAGTGAAGGCCACTTCGAAACTTGAGTTGCTCCAGGAATGTGACACAGGTACTCAGGAAGCTCCCTAGACTTGCGCTCCATGGTCTGTGCTGACTTTCAGTTTGCTTCCAGGTGCAATTCGACATGCTCCATTTAATCATAAAGGCCCAGTACGGGTTGAAAAGTGATCCATCCAGTTGTGAGCAGTGGGTATAATACTATCAGTTTTTACCTTGTGATATCATAACCTGACCACCTGAGCATTCTTGCTTAAAAGCCCAACATTTTGTCACCAACAATCCAGCAACAGCTCTGTGAAAACTCTGTCTCTTTTTCAGATTGCTATAGAATACCACAGGATCTATTCTTACAGATTGGGTTAT